CAGTACCAACGGCTCTGTACAGTCAAAGTGGAGTGCGATTTCTACAGATCAATGATTTCAATTTGCTGATTCCCGTCGCTCACCGTAGTGAAGTCAAAACAATAACACTGTGAAATACATCAAGATTAAAGCGGGTACATATGCTTTCAGACACACAAATTTGTATAAAAAAACATAACAAACGTACAGTATTCAACATTTTCCATTGGCAGACACTCCATGTATTTACAATATATATAGATAGATTCCTGAATGACCAACTTGAGAAAAGCTGGATTAGTCATTGAGTGAAAGTAGTAGTAGACGGATAATAGTACTTCTTCTATATTGCATTGTATGAATGAGTAGCTACAAATATATACTTCTGTGTTATTGTGTTTTCAGAGTAAAAAGGGCTTGAAGAAATATGAATAGACGTATGTATGTGCGTCGAACAGCAGAGAAGGCATGTTTGAAACCAAGGCCTTAAAAGTCACTGAGAAAAAAGCAAATACCAAGACACTTTGTTTGGTTTCTGAACTGGTATTGCTGCAGTGGTGAGCAGCGGGCGACATGGCATCGGAATCGAAGGTTGTAAACACGTGAAATATGCTTTTGCCGGACACAGGTGAGATCTATGGATTTTGTCACTATTTTTGTACAAATTCAAATCTGCTCAAGGAATTACTAACCATTATTTTGTCATTCTTAAAACCTTAGTATGTATATCTATAGCTACAAAGTGGTTTTGGTTGTGTTCATGGCACCCTTCCCTGTTACTGTCATACTATCTTCCACTGAATGGCATTTCACAAATGTACTGTATTTCCATTTAGAATATTCCACAATATGGTACGATTATTCTACTGCTGTGGAAAGACAGTTTTTTTTCTCCTCCACAATGTAAAATAACTTAAACAGTTTGGGTCCCAGTATTGAGCCTTGGGGTGCCCCACAAACTATTTTCAATCAGTAAAATCACTTTAAGTCCAATTATGTGCATTGTATGGTTATACTACACACACAGGATAAAGGACAAGGTTGTGGACCCCCTCAAAAACAACAATTAATAAACAAAACTATTGTATAGCTAAAAAATATTGTATTAGCTATATCTTTTTCCTGTGTGCAATAATATTTTTTTTTACCTCCTTATCGCCCCAGCCCTAGCTATACTAAACTTTAGTTAAGCCATGATCACAATTTAGAATGAATGTACAATTCTAATTTAACCTAATTGTTTTCTTTAGGCTATTTTTTATGAATGACTGTTATTGGGTCTCATATTTCACTCCAACATTCAATTCAAATGTCACATCGCTCGCTCCTTTTACACCATTTTCTGTTTTATGGCACAATATAAAAGAGCTTTTATCCCTGAACAATAAGAGTCAAGCTTAGTTGGATTTAGGATATTTCTCATTACTTGTACAGAGCCTGTATAGATGCTAGCATGTGAGATAAGTCGCTAAATGCCTGAAGTCGATAAAATATGTGCCTTTTTTTAACCGACTCACCTCCCGTAAGTCTTCCCAGGTTAAACTGTGCAAAAGTATTGATCAACGATTATCATAAAGTGCCTGTGTAACAACAATCAAGTCTGAAAAAAATCATTCAAATCAAAGGTGACAAAGAGATCACAGTAAACTAAAGGAAAGGTACATTGTTAGAGTCTGCATGTATTAAAATAGATAAATATCACGGGTATAAAACGCGTCGTGTGAAAATACGGCGTTCATTTGGTTGTTGGAAACTTTTTTCAGAGTTGAGAATTTGTTTCTTTCTGTTGATTTGATGAAATACTAAGCCATAGTTACACTGCTGCACACTGGGCTCGTCTTGTACAGTTATTCCAATGTGGTTTTACTGCAAATGGCAAATATGCTGAATCTGAAACAGTGGAAAACTACACTGTGTTTTGAGAGATTTTTTCAGAAATATGAACTAATGGAAGCCACTCCGTCCTGCAATTAATCTGCTAACTTTTTGTTCACATGGGGATTGTATATCTTAAGCTTGCCATGTCGCTCAGTATACTTTAAAACTTTAGCATTTCAAACCGTTTTTACTCCTCAAAAACCTGGATTCTTACAACGGATGTACTCTCCTCTCCACAGATCAACAAAGCAACCCAGACCTTCAATAGTTTACTAAATGATTGAGAATATTTAAAATAGTTCAGAATTGTGCAGATAATTTTACACAATGCTAGATGGGCCAGAATCTAACATATATTAAAAAGAAATTCTAACATATATAATATTTTTTCACAATTTTTTTTAGGTTAAAAAGTTACGATACAATAATTTTCTGATAATTCCAACATCCAGAGAATAATCCCAGTGGCTTCTTTTGTTGCTGGATTTAAAACTTACATCAATTTTCATGTTTTTTTCTTGGTTTTTTTCTCCTTTTTTAACATTTCTCAACTCAGAAAAACCCCGGTTTTTCTCGGGGGACCTCATGAACACCAAACGGCCATCTCTCGCCGGATCCTTATGAAAAATATACCATTGGAATGCTTAAGTTTCCCTCGCGTCCTTGGATTGGACTGTTTTTTTTTCAGCTTTGGTAACGGAGCAGTCGGGTGCATAGCGTAGGCCCAAGCTCGAATACTGATGGAATAAATATTAAAACATCAAAAACTATTTCCAACATCACCTGAATAAATAAACTGTCTTCTTTATGTGCATTTTGGAGAGAGACTAAATCCTAGTTTAAAAAAAAAAGAGAACCGCAACCAGTGTAAGTGAAAGCAAAAAACAAAAAAAAACGGCAAAACGCTTAAATATAAGAGCTGTCGTGACTGCACCAACAAGGGAAAACTCAGAAAACCAATTGTTCTAGTTAATTAAATTATCCCAGTGTTTATTATGCTTCTGATTTGGTAGATTTTAGATTTTTTTCTTCTTCATCCTTTTCTTTTTTTTCATGGAATGCATTACTGTTGGATAATTGTGGTATTTTGTTGCATTACCATGAACAAATAGAGCATAATAATAATAATAATAATAATAAAATGAATACGTTTTTTTCCATAAAGGGAACTTGCTAACGTGCTAATATCCTAGCTGGGCCTTTCTCAAACGAAAACAAGATATTTTTAGCATTATTTTTGATGAATTTACTGTAGATCAGACACATTTCTAGACAGGACAAACTTCAGTTTTCGTAGCTAAACCTTGTTGGTGCATTTCACTCACAATAAGAGCTTTTGAAGTGGAAGCAGATTGGAAAAGCGCTTTCATATGTCTTAAAGCTGATTTTCTAACCAGATCCCAGACATACGTAAATTAGTGCTAAATGAAAAAGGCAAAGAAAGACGCAGTAAAAGACGTTAGCTCGCCTGGCCAGTCAGACCGGATCACTGTGAGCTCATGAGGTTATTGACCCAACATTTTACTAAAAGGCAATTATCGCATACTTGAAAAGAGGAGAGCAGAATGCAGCCATGCCTGTGTGCAGTCCGCCCCAGGGCAAATATGGCGACGATTGAGTTTTCCTATATCCAGAAACAGCCAGTGGTATTAAGTCCATGGGTTTCGGTCACATTTTTCTTTCCTGTTATGAATGAGGATTTGTAAATGGGCGCTGCAGCAAAGTCAGCCTTACTTCTTTGTACCTTTGTATCTTTGTGGTGTTTATTGAGTCGTGTAAAAATCTGTAAATGCTTAAAGAGCGCGTGTACAGTGAGTTATGTGAGATTATTGCTGACGAGATGTTTACGACTTTACGACACACGAGTTGAATTGTCCAGGTGAGGACGTCTGTCTCAATGCTGATGCAAAAAAAACTTTAAAAAATATTGAATTACATCACGGAACTAATCCATGTGATAAAAAGGGCGGATTTATTGAAGACTTGGTTGTCTATTGTACATGTTTTGTGTCAATAAAATGTTGCATTAGACTCAGGCTCAGATCGTCCTGAGGAGATTTATTTGCTTGTTTGTTCTATCTCAGGGAAGTCTCTTTGGGATCTGGCCAGTAATGAAGAGTTTTAACAGAGATCACTGGTTGTCAGCCTTTGAAAACAGGGGTTTCAAACTGGTTCCAGAAAGAGATTCCAGAAAGTCTCCACCATTTCCTCAAGTCTTCAGGTAAGGACTAGACTTGAGGAAATGTGTGAAATCTGCTCCTGCTTGGTTGGAATAAAAACCTGCAGCCACACCAGCCCTTTGACGAGCAGTTTGACACCCCTGCTTTAGAATGAGGCTGAACCATTTAACTTAAACCAGTGGTTCTCAACTGGGAGGCCTGGAACATAACTCTTTAACGCTTAATTTAGGAAAGTAATATAAATAAATGTGTCCATAACAGAAGTTTTACATTTAAATTAAGAATAAAAAATAAATAAATATAATAGAAAAAAACTAGCCCCTTCTTAAAATCATTTTCTTATCACAAAGACACATTTACTTATTTCAAAATGCGTATTAAATCTATTTCCTTGATACCGATGTCAAAAGTAGCACCATTCTGAGAGCTTTAAAGTACAACGCGGCTGATTTTAGCCCAAGTTAGAGATTTTGAAATGATTTATTATTATGCTAATGTCAGAGATTTTATTGCTTCTTAGTACAGTATAGAGTTATTGTTCATTTATTTTGAGGTGCGTGCTCCTCATTCCTACAGTTCTGTAACCGCTGATGCAACACTGACATTTCCCCACTGTGGCACCAATAAAGCATCTCTTAAACTTCTCCACAGCAGGTGATGGACTTTAGACTTCCAACCTGTACAAGCGTGCGTGGTCATTCTCCCCAATTTCCTGATTTTGTCGTGATCATGGTAACAGTGCGCCATGGCAACGGCTGTGCGTCCTCCTGAAACCCATGGATTTGACTGACCAGGCGATAGTTAACAACAGTTAGTACAATTAGTGCTTTTACCAAATAATGTGAGACGTTAAAGAGGCGTATCTACTGCAAAGCAAAGCAAGCGGTTAGACAGAAGAAGTTAGATAGTTAAGTCTAAAGAAATATATTAAATAAATGTAACTAGAATTGAGTCTCTTCAGTTTCAGACAGCGGCGGCAGGTAGCGAGGACGGACTATTCACGTCATTCTCCACTTTCTGCTCCGGTGAACAGGAGAGGAAAAGGCGGCTGCCCAGACTTTTGAAAGCAAACCGAAAGTACATGAGGTGACCCATGGCCACGAAGGAGACGGAGATGATGACGAGGAGGCCGAAGGCTTCCGGGTTGGGGGCCAGGATCACCATGATGAAGTGCAGCAGGTCCAGGAGGTAGTTCATGGAGTTCTGGACACCGTTGATGACTCCGCGCTCAGATTCCATCACGTTTTCTTGGATTAGCTGCGTCACGGTCAAGTCGAAGGACCACAGACCTGAGAGAGCAGAGAAGAATAAATGTGTATATATGTATTAAGGAGGTTTTCTTCTTTTTTTTGAAATATAAGTAACTGTAATGAGTGAGGCCATGAGTGTCATAGCCTCCGGAGCAGACAGAGGTCGTCTTCTACTGGTTTGGTCACACTTGTAATTGATCTGTGCAGTTACACGCAGCTCGGATAACACACAAACAGCCGTGACCAGTTGTTTTTACACATCTGAGAGAGAACAGGTTGACATCACTTAAAACTGTATGCAATATCCACTACTTAAAAATGATTCTGATTAACTTTGAAACCACAAAAATAACCGCAATAAAATCTATTTAACTTTATCACAAATTGTCACATGTCTGTATTTTTTCAGCCGTTCCTCAGCCAATCAGCTCTCAGAATGAAAAAGATGAAATGTTTACTATTTAACACTGATTAAAACGACACACCTTTTATTCCCTTTTCAGCTAAGTGCTAACTTTCCAAACCAATCAGACAGGTCCCTCTGCTCCTCCCTCAGAGCTACTGATTATAACCCTATAATCATAACTACCCTAATCCATTTATCTGCAGACATATCTTATCGGCAGTGTATGTGTCTTGCACTAGAGCAGGGGTCGGCAACCCGCGGCTCCGGAGCCGCATGCGGCTCTTTAGTGCCCCTTGAGTGGCTCCTGGAGCCTTTTCAAAAATGTCTGAAAATGGAGTGGGAAGGGTATATTTTATTTATAGTTTCAATGTGGTTTCTGTAGGAAGGACAACATTCTTAATGTTTTCCAATGCAGTAAAAATGTGCATAAGAAATATTTAATTTTAACATTTGTGTCAACTAAGATGTGCGTCATATCCTGCGACGCGCGGTTACGCGGCCCCGCGCCGGGCGGCCGCTGTTGTAAACAAACCAGCATGTGCCACATGAGTCCGCATAAATCCCAAAGCTAAAAAGGGAAATACTTGATAAGAACCAGGAACTCAAGGACAAATGGACTGTAACATTTGGCTCTCATTGAGTCAATGAGGAAGGACTGCTTCATGTTTTCTTTGTAATGAGAATATATTGAAGAACAAAAAGAGTCATGTGGAAAATCGGCTGCTGACCCCAGTTTGGAGAGAAACAGTGCGATCGCAGTTATTCTGGAGGATTCATCTCCAAACTTCTACGCCTGAATTTTGTTGCAACACGAGGAACAAAAAAGTGCGAAACACCGTTCGGGACATTCAGCTCCAGCAAACTCCAGCCTGTGACGACGTGTGACGTGATCGATATGAACAGAAAGTGCTGTAATGCAGGTATGAGAACTGAGCCAAAAACAGATGTATTTACTGTATTTATACAATTGCATGAACGCAACAAAAGGAAAGTTAAACTTAAAGCATATATGGTATAGCAAAGTAGTCACATGGTGCGTCACTCTCTTGCACTACAGTGAAAATGTATATATATATAATAATCATGAATGCATATTATGTATTTGTAGCCTATACTTACTCATTTTGATAGTAGGCTAATACAGCTTACAGCCTGTGTTGCTTTCATATAAACCTTAAAAAAGGCAGTAAAGTTTATGCGGCTCCAGACAGATTTGTTTTTTTTATTTTTGCTCAAATATGGCTCTTTGAACTTTTTGAGTTGCCGACCCCTGCACTAGAGGATGCAGTGTTTTAGACTTGCTTCTTCAAGGTATACAGGGTGGTGACAAAGTTACTAGTGAATTATCAGTGACATTTGTACAGACTCAGCAGTTCTTATTACACATTCTCGTTGTACAGCCTGACAGCTGTAGAGATTTTAAAGGTAAAGATGCACTTTATTATGTAGGGAAATTCATCCTCTGCATTTGACTCAGATCCTGATGCCGCTTAGCCTGGCTCTGCCAGACCCTTGTAGTTCCGCCATGCTCCACCAGAGGCGTTTGGCTGAACCACATGGGTCTGGTATCGACGCCATAGCGAACGCCTTCCCCAGATTACGTGGGGTTTGCACTGCCTTCTCAAGCTTCTCTCATGCAGCAGCGAGAGGAATCCAAGGTGGCGGACGTTAAGTCCGCGAATCTTTTTAAAAGAGTAAATACGATCGAATTAAGACACGGATGTTACTTTTAATGCTATTTGAGGCAAGATGTTGATGGTTATATATGTGTGTTTTAAGAGTCAAATGTTCCTGTAAAGTTTGGTTGAAGCACTGGTTCAGTGTTCCTGTTTACACACTATGCAGCAGGGTTGCCAGGTTTGGTGGTTCCCGCATATTTTTTTCCAAGAGACTTGTAGGTATTAAATAAACAGAAAGACAATAAACAGAATCATGATAGCCCAAGTTGATTACATTACGTTTTTAGCCATAATTTTTTTTTGTGTGGATATTCTCGCGGATTTTGGGTTGGAAAGTCTTGCTGGGATTTGGCAACCTATGGGAGCCGTGTGCTTCGATGTGAGGGGTTGAAAGCAGGCTTCATTCAAGATAACGGACAAGTGGTCTATCCAATCACACACAAGGATTTTTTTTACAAGGCCCTGCCTTCTGAAATCCAACCACTATGGCTCAGTACCAGACTCGTGTGAAGTGCAGCGAACTTCATGGGTCTGGCGAGAGTCAGGCTAGATGCCGCTAGGCTTCCGTCAGGAGCAGTGGTCGCCGTAGTAACAGCGCACAGGATCCCATCTCCAGATGTTGATGCTCGGCTTGGTCAGGACCAGAGCTGGAGGATTTAACCTATAGGGCAATTTTTTTGTGGTGGGAAAACCGGAGCACCCAGAGGAAACCGGAGCAGGCGCGGGGAGAACATGCAAACTTAATTCAGAAAGACCCTGTTCCGTCCGGGATTCGAACCCAGGACCTTCTTGCTAAGAAGCGGGAGTGGTCAATACTCCACTGTACTTTTATTTTTAAAATAAGAGTACATAAGATTCAATATTTGTGCTGTACATAATATTCACTTATCTCATGTGTGCTCCTCATTCATACTGTTCTATAACTTGTGATGCAACACTGAAGTTTCAGTGTTAAATGTATTATCTTATTGCTAATAGTAAAGACACTGTGAATAAATAAATATGAATAGGATCCATTAGTGACCCTGCAGCTTTTGTGACTCTTACCCATTCTGGCAGCGATGACCCCAGCGAACAGCAGGCTCACAGACAGAGGCGAGGGCACGATCACCTCCTCCGCAGACGTGGTCAAACTGCTCATCGTCGTGGTGGCGTTCAGCACCATCCCGCTCAGATGAGGATCGGCTTCAGGCACCGTGGGTTTCACTCCGACCAGGTGAGTGTAGAGGTCTTCGAACGGCGAGACGCTGAGATCGAAGGGACTCCCGGGCGCGAACACCGACACCACACAAAGCATGAGGCAGGACAGCTGAGCCACGCCCGAGATGAAGCCGGTGCGAATCAAACCACACTTCTTACGGATCCAGGTGAAGGCCACGGTGCCACAGATGCCCGAAATCGCCGACGCGCCCATGAGTAAGCTGAGGATGGAGCCGTTTAAGCCCTGGGTGTAGGCGTATCCCGTGGTGATGCAGTCAAAGCCCAGCACGGTCATGTAGAGAAAGGCCAGAGACATGCCGGCGAAGAAGATGTTCTGGTTGTAGTAGGACACCCATCCGGCTTTGAGCGTCCGCAGGGGTTCTGTGACCTGGTGACAGCAGCTGGTGTCCTCTGGGGAGCTGGCTCTCGTCGCCGCTGAGTCGACCATGAGCGGCTGAGAGGACTCCTCCGGGCTCCGGCCATTCTCGAGCTCTGCCAACAAGACATGCGCAATCATTTAGTTTGGGTAAAGGATGGGAGGTTATGAGGTGTGGTTATTATGACTTTTTATTAGTCACTTTTTATATATATATATATATATATAATACAGCCAATACTGTATTATATAAATTCAACGACTGTATTGGGCAAGACACACTTTGCCTGAAGCCCCCGCTGAATAATCTAGGCTCCTGTGGACTCACCACCTGATCAGTGAGGGGCTGGTACTCTGTGTAATGGGTGCAGCTCTGACTGCCACTCCGCAACCCAGAAATGGATTAAGGGGAAGAAGATGGATGGATGGATGGGTAGATATTATATAAACGTATACACTATATATACATGTCAAATTAATAATAAATCTATCTTTCTTCCTCCAGCTCATCTGAGGGAATCCTAAGGCGTTCCACAGACCAGCTGAGAGACATTGGAGGAGGCATGTCCTAGCCAAATGCAAAATATTTACAGATATTTTAGCCAAAACGATAAGCTAAACAAAACTATTAGTTTAGTTTAGTTTAGTTTATTTGTTTATTTGAGCAATACACATTGTGCTCAAAAGGAGTGGGCTGAAACTATGTACTTGTATTAGCACAATATGACTCGTAAGTTTCCTGGAGAAGGGCCTACACTTGTACATATTGTTCTTCACAGCCAACAGAATGGCTGTGAACGCTTCTCTCCATAGATTTATGGATCATTTATATATAAGGTTTGAATGAATGTTGAAATTTGATTGTTTATTAAGTTTCATTACGTTTTGGGTTGTCTTGTTTTGCAATCGCTTTGTATATTGTATGTTTGAACTTTTGTAATATGAATTGATCCTGTGTGAAGTGGACATCATGAAGACTATAGCAACAAATTGTGGAAGCTAACTGGAAATGTAATAAATAAATAAGTAACTTTTTATAACCATGAAATGTTCAGAAAGCTTCAAAGTGTCATTTACCTCTGACAGGGCTGAGGTCCTTGAGCTCCTGCTGCTGCGCCTCCTTCTGTCCGGCTTTCGTGGCCAGAGCCGGTGTTTTCTGGTAGACCTTCCACAGCAGAGCGTACTCCACACACATGGACACCAGGTTCCAGCCCGAGATGAAGCCGCAGCCGATGAAGTGCGAACCGAACGCCATCACCTGCCCCACCAGCATCGGGGCCAGGATGTTGGTGAGCTGGTCGATGATGCGCACGGTGGCGTTCATGTCTGTGCAAACACAAGGAGGTCATTCAGTCACAAATCAGGCTCAATGGAAGTATCATCTTTGCATCTACAGCCCGACCGTCACTTTACTCCATGGGTCAAAGGCAGGTCAGATCCGGCCTGCGAACACGACGCCAGTTTTTATTTTATTTTATCTACTATCTTGGTGTACTTTTGTATGGGTTGAGGTGACTTTAGCGAATACTATAAGCCATGGGTGTCAAAGTCCAGGCCCGGAAGCCAGATCCGGCCTGCGAAAGAATCATCCTGACCCCGGGATGATATTTGATTAGTATTAGAATATTAGAACTGGTCGCACAGAGCCATAAGAAAATATTGGAATTATTAATTTAATGTTCAGGACGTATGTTTTCTCTTTGAATGAAGTTTGTTTTGAGCCTGTTGGAAAAGGTTTTCACTTGAAATGACTGACAGAGAGGAAAATATTGGATTATTTATTTATAATACATAAAATATGATGCACTGTGTTAGGTCTTGGTTCAACAGGTTTTATGCATCATTTTAATATGTTTTAATAAAAATGTAACCTGTCCGACCCTCGGCTTGTAGCTTTAGCTGTAGTTTTTTTGGCCTCTGATGTATTTGACTTTATCAGAATCAGAATCCTTTTAAATCTATGTGAGCAACAAGAAGTCACAAACAAATAAATAGTTTTGATGTTCAATGACGTTATGATACTGTCACTAACGTCTTTTGTGTTTACTTTGTGCACTTTAAAATATAGCAGTAATTTCAAGAGATGTTATACATATCTTTGGATCTCTTATAACACTTGTTGGTTAAAATTAAGCTTGTCACTCTAACAATGCTCAAGGCGGTGATTTTCCACTTGATGTTTTGGTTCTGAAGGCGACGCTACTGACACCATGGCAGCTGCTGATTGGACAGTCGATTATTCCTTCATGGTATAACATCACATGCAAACAGTACATCTTTGACACGATCCTGGACCGATCTGCATCTTGTCTCATTTTCGACATACCTTACTCTATTTTACCTCCTAACTTGTTTGCGCCTAGATACAAAGCAATATCCTAGTTTGTGACTTCTCGTTACTCACATGGCAATAAAAATAATTCAGATTCTGATTGTAATAATTTAAGTTCTGTGGTAGAAACTCTCAATCAATGTGAGAGGTCGCCTCACATTTTTCCTTTTTGCACTACCCTCCCTTTGTGCACATCAATTTAGGAAGTATGGCACGTAATGTAATCCAAAGCCACAACTGGAGCCGTGATGTAGGTAATAAAATCCCAAGAAGTACACAGTGTGCCGCGTTACAATGTTCAGAGTTCACATACAGTATTGTTCCATTCTCTCCACGCGGTGATGATGGAAGCGAGACGCCGAACACTGAAGCATCAATGGCTAAAAAACCATCCGGTCACTCACTCATTAAATTGCTTGTGCATGTTTTTAGTGGTAGGAGAAACCGGAGCACCTGGAGGAAACTTACAGGGAGAACATGCAAACTCCACACAAAAGGCAGGAAGTTACTAACCCCAATTGGTTTTGCAGCAAACAATCATTTAAAAACAGGCAGACACAGCAAAACCACAACAATGAAGAAAACAAAAACGAGAGATTGTCACAAAGCTAATTTTCAGTGCAAATATGCTATAGACTGCAAAAGTTACATTTTTTTTCAGAGCAAAGGAAGGTTTCTCACCCATCATCTGTACTTCTTAGCAAGTTTTTTTTTCAGCTATTTTTATTTTCCTGTAATCTCCAGTTGAATAGAGGGTCTAAGACAAATATGTCAATGGCAGTCAATTAGTTAAGGTGCTTCAAAGCTGTTGGGATAAATGTAGTTCCCCATCGTTTTGTCCTACACCCAAAAGCTCTTGGGTGTAGCTTTATCCAGCTTTATCTTTAAATTCCAAATGTAACTTTATTGCAGAATAAACTTGTTCAGCGGCTCAAGTTTTGGACCACAGCTTTGCACTTCTTTATAATACTTAAAACGTTTGTAGTAGTAAGTAATCTTTATTTATATACCGCCTTTTCACTGCACATCGGAGTCTCAAAGCGGTTTACAATTGTTATTTTTGGGAGTGGGGGTGCCAGTACAGGAGGCACATGTCAGACCTATTGTACATATTTTTAGTGGTAGGGGAAACCAGAGCACCCGGAGGAAACCTACGCAGACACGGGGAGAACATGCAAACCCCACTCAGAAAGGCCCTGGTCCAACCGGGATTCAAACCCAGGACCTTCTTGCTGAGAGGCGAGAGTGCTATCCACTCAGCCACCGTGCCGCCCTTTTGCTCTTCTATATCTATGAGGAACTTAAATGACGTGAGTCTGTGTGAAAATCAAATGCTCACAGTGACATTTGCTGAAAGTGTGATTATGCAATATATAATATAAGCAAAGTTACGAGACCAGGTGGGGGGGTGGGGGGTGCAGTGGTCAGACTAATAGTTTCTTTGTAGACTTATTCATTGAGACTATTGACAGAAAATGGACCACGATACACAGTTCGCCCGTTGCCATTGTGTTTTCGAGTATACATAATTAATGAACAATAGCTATAGTAGTAACTGTCACAGCAGCATTCTTGTCCCAGATGGATCTACAGCCGCCATCGCCCTCCTGCTGCTGCGGTTCAGCCGGTTCACTGGAGCAAAGGAGGTTTAGTATCATGTGAGGTCTCTTAAATACCTTACAGCGGCCGCCACCAACGATTGGGACATTATTACGAGGAAAATACGAGAGCGAGCGAGTCAGCATCCGGAGGTCGAAGTCTGAACTCTGAAACTTCTGATAGGGCGATCACGTTAGGCCTGACCTTGATAAGAGATCCTGTGAAAACTGCTATCGGACCGGACCTGGTTTAGTTCTGGACTGAGGATTAGTGCTGATTATGAAGCGGTTAAGTCCTTTCTTCTCATGATTTGACTCTGAAATCTTGACTTGTAATGACTGAAGTAAGGAGGTTAGGGAACTTGCTTCTTCTATGATAATAATTGAACTTGAATTAGCATTTTAGTTTTTGAATCTGACCTATATATGTATTATTATAATTATACTTAAATAAAAATGTAGATTTAAACATGACAAAACTATCCTTTTTTGTCACGTACTTTTGCCTGCAATATTTTGATAATCCATTACAGTTGCAGCTTATTCTTACAGTATATATCTAGTCATTCTGAAATCTCAATATTGAGTTACAACAAGAGTAAACTATATTTTGTCCTTTGACGCTGCCGAATCATCCTTGTATCACCGGTACCGGATATAAAAAAAATAGTGAACAAAGTAAAGCCTCATCTCATTCTTCCAAAAACCCTAGAAAGTCCAGAAACTCTCCAGGTTCTTTAGACAGCAATAAACGGTGTAGTAGGCTATAAAACCGTCTTACATGTTGCTTACATGTGGGTCAGGTGAAGATCATAAAAGTACAAATAAACCACTCAAAGATCTCAACTTTGCATAAAAACAGCGAAACAGTTTTTGTGCATGCCGCTCTTTCCTTTACAAAGTTATCCTTGTAAAAAATAAGTTAGATAAGCTCCTGTAGTCCATAATTTTGCGATTCTGTAAGGTCCTGGCTGCACTGAGCTGTGACTTTTTTCAGAGTCAGAAAAAACAGAAAATAAATAAACCGGTCCAAACTATTCCCACTTTTGCACTGGGCCAAGACGGCAAGTCGTGTGGCTGTGGTTAGAGGAATCATAGGGAGAGCAATGGCGTATCGGATTTATTGTAAAATTGAATTTATCTATTCTATGTATTTTAGTAGGAATTGTCTTTTCATGATTTGAATCTGGGGCTGGTGCTCTGTGTACTGGGTGGAAATGGATGAAACGTGTTGTATTGACAATCATTCAACTATAATTAACGCTGAAAAAGCTGATACAGATCCAAACAACACACCAATCTTTCCCCACTAGTGCACTGGGTCAAGGCCGCCTGTTGTGTGGCGTTGTTTGGACTAGCTGTGTTAGTGTGAAACTTCCCCACTGAGGGATAAATACAAGTTATCTCATCTATTTTGACAGTGGAAATGACTAAAACATGAACAAAAGCTGTTGAAGCTGTTGATTCAGTATAAAATATCCCCAAAAAACAAACCTGCTAGCTTGCTGCTGTCCTGGCCGGCTACCACCACAACCCAGTCCCTCTGTATCGTGATGGACATGGCTGTGCTAGCGAGGTTAGCGATGTTAGCGATGGCGATGACCATGACGTAGCACGTTGTCTGCAAAACAAAGAGAAGTTGTTTCGTTAGTGTCATAATTCAAATCTCAATGTTATTCAGTTATACCTGTTTTCATGACAGCGGATTCAAGTAATACAAGCAATAGATACACATCATGGTTAAAGATAGCAAAGACAAGGACGTACTACTTTCTACCCTAACAGTAAAGGTAATGATAATGTCACAAAAAAACATGGGATCAAGTCTTGAAAAGTAGACATATTTTAAGAAAGTAAAAAATTGGAATGTATTTTTTTTAGCCTCATATCACTACAGTAGTTACCATTTAAATAATTGAAAACGCATCACTTTTCTAGAATAATACTCAAAATGGTTTTTAAATGTTACTTAAAGGAGCAATATGTAACAATCTGGACAAAGCTGGTACTGCACTCTCCCTGACTCAGGTTGCCAGATATGCAGATGAATCCGGCTGGGTTCATGATAGCTGAACAGCTGTTGTTTTTTCAACAACAAATCTATAACCAACACATTTTTCACAAACATAGAAATCCTTTTATTTTTATTTCTTGTTTAGTCGTTAATGATTTGAGAATCATAACAAGACTTCTTTTAGTTCTGCGGCCAGATAGTACTTTACCAGTGAGATTATCTTGATGCGGTGAGTTCTGGCAACAAGGATTACACACTTTCTGATTGGTAAAACGTTGAGGGCGGGAAATCTAAATGAAAACAATAACAAGATTTAGGGACTGTAAAACTAATTCTTAAATTTGAATATCCCTGAACTGCTGTTCTCAGTTAAAGAAGAATTGGAAAAGAACATGGTTTATTATTATAACATATTAGGGCCATTTAAGGGTGACTTGACATGAAAATCTTACATATTGCTACTTTAATGTTTTTTTTTGTACTATAGCACTGGAATTGTGTGTCTGTAGTCTTCATATTGACCCGGGTGTTGTTGCCATGGGATAAACCAGCAAAACTGAAACTAATATATCATGTATTTTCTTTGTTGAATGAAATTGCTGTTGGTTCCTAATCCAGAACATATTTTCAAACCGCTTCTGTGTGGCTCATGTGACTCCACTGCTGCTGACAGAGAAAGAACTTTATGTCTGTGTATGAGCAGTAAAAGGACAACAAAAGTAGCAATATGTAAGATTTTCATGTCAAGTCATCATTAAAGGGCCCTAATCTGTCAAAAGGCATTAATAAATCAAGCTCTTTTCAAATACTTCTTTAACTGATAACAATAGTTTAGGGATATTTGAATTTCAAAATTAGTTTTAAAGCCCCTAAATCTTGTTATTATTTTTGTTTTAAAGTCCCGCCCTCCACCGTTTTACCAATCAGAAATTCTTTGATCCAGGTTACCAGAACTCACCTTGTCGAGCAAATCTCACTGGTAAAGAATCATGTGGCTGTGGTACTAAAAAGGACTTGTTATTATTAATAACAAGACAAGGACAAAAACGAGGATTTTTATCTTTGTGAAAAAGGTGTTGGTTATAGATTTGTTGTTGACAAAACTCTTGTCTAATCAGATTTTTTGGTCCCAGGTTTGATTTGTCTGCATATCTGGGTTGCCAGATATGCAGACAACCCGAGTCAGGGAGAGTGGGAGAAGTTGCAATACCACTTTTGGCCAGATGTTTTAAATACTGCTCTTTTAACAATCATTGCATTACTTGTTTTGATTTCTTGTCACGGATAAACAATTAAAACGTAAAAACTGAAACCGGAAACAAGACATGGGGGAAAAACAACAATGGACCGACAACAAGAGGAGAGGAGCACAGGGTCTAAACACACAGGAGCACAGGGTCTAAACACACAGGAGCACAGGGTCTAAATACACAGGGTCTAAATACACAGGAGCACAGGGTCTAAACACACAGGGTCTAAACACACAGGGTCTAAATACACAGGAGCACAGGGTCTGAATACACAGGCGCACAGAGTCCAAACACACAGGAGCACAGGGTCTAAACACACAGGAGCACAGGGTCTGAATACACAGGAGCACAGGGTCTAAATACACAGGAGCACAGGGTCTGAATACACAGGCGCACAGAGTCCAAATACACAGGAGCACAGGGTCTGAATACACAGGAGCACAGGGTCTAAAGACACAGGAGCACAGGGTCTGAATACACAGGAGCACAGGGTCTGAATACACACATGGAGACACAGGTGTAGCACATCAGGGCAAACTATCGACCAGATAGACAGGAAGTAAAACTCACAAGAGAACAAAAATATGTCAGCATAATTAATGAACAGGAAGTCCACACCATGACATTTCTGACCATGATCTTGAGGCTATTTCCTAAAACTTTCCAGGTTTTAAGCGTGAAATAACTGCTTAAATAGAGTTATTGAGGCATTTCTAGCATAGCACAATGTATTTGAAGGTACTGTACATTAATTCATTTGACCAACAGTGCCTTGCGAAAGTATTCGGCCCCCTTGAACCTTTCAACATTTCGCCACATTTCAGGCTTCAAACATAAAGATATAACATTTTAATTTCTTGTCATGAATCAACAACAAGTGGGACACAATCGTGAAGTGGAACAAAATGTATTGGATAATTAAGACTTTTTTAACAAATAAAAAACTGAAAAGTGGGGCGTGCAATATTATTTGGCCCCTTTACTTTCAGTGCAGCAAACTCAGTCCAGAAGTTCAGTGAGGATCTTTGAATGATCCAATGTTGTCCTAAATGACTGATGATGATAAATAGAATGCACCTGTGTGTAATCAAGTCTCCGTATAAATGCACCTGCTCTTTGATAGTCTCAGGGTTCTGTTTAAAGCGCAGAGAGAACCATGAAGACAAAGGAACACACCAGGCAGGTCCGAGATACTGTTGTGGAGAAGTTTAAAGCCGGATTTGGATACAAAAAGATTGCCCAAGCTTTAAACATCTCAAGGAGCACTGTGCAAGCAATTATATTGAAATGGAAGGAGTATCAGACCACTGCAAATCTACCAAGACCCGGCCGTCCCTCCAAACTTTCATCTCAAATAAGGAGAAGACTGATCAGAGATGCAGCCAAGAGGCCCATGATCACTCTGGATGAACTTCAGATAACTACAGCTGAGGTGGGAGAGTCTGTCCATAGGACAACAATCAGTCGTGCACTGCAAAAATCTGGCCTTTATGGAAGAGTGGCAAGAAGAAAGCCATTTCTCAAAGATATCCATAAAAGGTCTCGTTTAAAGTTTGCCACAAGCCACCTGGGAGACACACCAAACATGTGGAAGAAGGTGCTCTGGTCAGATGAAACCAAAATCGAACTTTTTGGCCACAATGCAAAACAATATGTTTGGCGTAAAAGCAACACAGCTCATCACCCTGAACACACCATCCCCACTGTCAAACATGGTGGTGGCTAGGGTTTAATCCCGGGATACGGGATTCCCGGGAAATCTGATGAAAACTATTTCCCGATTCCCGGGAAATGTTATGACGGGAAACGGGAAATGAAAGTAAAAAAAAAAATACAGTGCGCTCCTATTATAAAGCACGTTTATTGTTGTTCAAAGTTCAAACATATTTCATTTACAATCAACATGTCTACAGCTGAGAGGATGGCTCCTAAATTGTGTTTTTGACAACAAATATGGGTCTTAATCGCGCTAAACCACGACTTGTAATGAGGCCAGGCTCAGGGTACGGGGCACATGTGAGCCCAGAATTTGGTTACGTCCAATTCTATCAGAAAGCTCCTTTCTTTTTTTCCATCTGCTAAGGGCAGCAACAGGTTTGGCTAACATACATATAACACATTTTAAAATCATATAAAATGCATTTAGGGTAATGTTCTGCTTACATTGACGATAGGAATGATAAGGAAGAGAGGAGAAGGGTAAGAAGGTTGATATTAGAAATTGGATGCGCCCGAGAGCCGGCTGCAGCGAACACACGGAGGAGTTTATGGAGGTGGCACCCGTTTTGTTTTACGCTTTAAAACTCTTTGGGCTTATTTCCAAATGGGGGATTACATATCTGCGCTCAAATTATTATATGGACTTAAACATGAAACTGGTCTGAACTGAAGTGGTCTGTGCTGTTCATTAATAACTAAGGTAAGACCCATAACACAATTGGAAATGTGCCTTTTACGAACTTTTGCGTTTTGTTTGAGCAAACAATGCGGGCCATGGAAAACATTCTGCTGTAGCCAAACTAATTGTGAATAAGCCGCTCTGTAGGTTCTGTTGATTTATATGATATATGTTCATCTGATTGGGCTGAAGTCAGTGCCTCCAAACCACACGCACGTCACTTTTCGACAAGTGGATTGCGCAGACATTTAGAATCTCATAATAGTGAAATTCCTGAAGAAAGCCCATCAACAAAACGTCTGAAAACGCTATGGCTACTTTATAAAAGCTAGCAAGTCACTTGGTGAAACACTAGTGGAGATGGCAGCTTTTGTTGGATTATATATTTGAGTGATATCATACATTACTTGGGCTAAAAACAACAACTACAAACAACAGCTATTTCCCGGGATTTCCCGGGAAAGGCGTCGTCTTTTCCCGGGATATGATACGTCTCATTTTCGGGAAAAATATTAAACCCTAGTGGTGGCAGCATCATGCTTTGGGCCTGCTTTTCTTCAGCAGGGACAGGGAAGATGGCTAAAATTGATGGGAAGATGGATGGAGCCAAATACAGGACCATTCTGGAAGAAAACCTGTTGGAGTCTGCAAAAAACCTGAGACTGGGACGGAGATTTATCTTCCAACAGGACAAGGACCCAAAACATAAAGCCAAATCTACAATGGAATGGTTCACAAATAGACGTATCCAGGTGTTAGAATGGCCAAGTCAAAGTCCAGACCTGAATCCAATCGAGAATCTGTGGAAAGAGCTGAAGACTGCTGTTCACAAACGCTCTCCATCCAACCTCACTGAGCTCGAGCTGTTTTGCAAGGAAGAATGGGAAAGAATTCCAGTCTCTCGATGTGCAAAACTGATAGAGACATACCCCAAGCGACTTGCAGCTATAATTGCAGCA